TGCTGAAAAACCATTCAACAAAATTCAACATCCATTTATGATAAAAACTCTCAACAAAAGGGTACGGAGGGCAAGTACCTCAACGTAATAAAGGCCATATAAAACAAACCCACAGCCAACATTATACATAACAGTGAGAAGCTGAGAGCTTTTCCTTTAAGATCGGGAACAAGACAAGGATGCCCACTCTCCCCACTTATAGTCAACATAGTACTGGAGGTCCTAGCCATGGCAATCAGACAACACAAAGAAATAAAAGGCATCCAGATTGGCAAGGAAGAAGTTACACTGTCCTCTTTGCAGATGACATGATATTGTACATAAAAAAACTTACAGAATCCACTCTAAAACTACTAGATCTAATATCTGAATTCAGCAAAGTTGCAGGATACAAAATTAATACACAGAATCTGTTGCATTCCTATACACTAACGATGATCTAGCAGAAAGAGAAATCAGGAAAACAATTCCATTCACAATTGCATCAAGAAGAATAAAATACCAAGAAATAAACCTAACCAAGGAGGTGAAAGTCTTATACTCTCAAAATTATAAGACACTCATGAGGGAAATTAAAGAAGAAACTAATAAATGGAAACACGTCCTCTGCTCATGAATAGGAAGAATTAATGTTGTCAAAATGACCATCCTGCCTAAAGTAATCTACAGATTCAATGCAATCCCTATCAAAATACCAAGAGCATTCTTCAATGAATTACAATAAATAGTTCTAAAATTCATATGGAACCAGAAAAAACCCTGAATAGCCAAAGCAATCCTGAGAAGGAAGAACAAACTAGGGGGAATTACGTTCCCTGACTTCAAGCTCTACTACAAAGCCACAGTAAGCAAGACAATTTGGAACTGGCACAAGAACAGACCCATACATCAATGGAACAGAATAGAAGCCCCATATAGAAACCCACACATATATGGCCAATTAATATATGATAAAGGAGCCATGGATATGCAATGGGAGCCTTTTCAACAGCTGGTGGCAAAACTGGTCAGCTACATGTAAGAGAATGAAACTAGATTATTGTCTAACTCCATACACAAAAGTAAACTCAAAATGGATCAAAGACCTGAATGTAAGTCATGAAACCAGAAAACCCTTAGAAAAAAACATAGGCAAAAATCTCTTGGACATAAACATGAGCTACTTCTTCATGAACATATCTCCCTGGGCAAGGGAAACAAAAGAAAAATGAACAAGTGGGACTATATCAAACTAAAAAGCTTCTCTACACCAAACGACACAATCAGTAAAACAAAAAGGCATCCTACAGTATGGGAGAATATATTCATTAATGACATATCCAATAAGGAGTTAACATCCAAATTATATAAAGAGCCCACACACCTCAACAAACAAAAAGCAAATAAGCCAATTAAAAAATGGGCACAGGATCTCAACAGACACTTCTCCAAAGAAGAAATTCAGATGGTCAACAGGCACATGATAAGATGCTCCACATCGCTAATCATCAGAGAAATGCAAATTAAAACCACAATGAGATATCATCTCACACCTGTTAGGATGGCCAACATCCAAAAGACAAACAACAACAAATGTTGGGGAGGATGTGGAGAAAGGAAAATCCTCCAACACTGCTGGTGGGAATGTAAATTAGTTCAACCATTGTGGAAAGTAGTAGGGACATTCCTCAAAAAACTCAAAATAGAAATACCATTTGACCCAGGAATTCCACTCCTAGGAATTGATCCTAAGAATGCAGAAGCCCAGTTTCAAAAAGACATATGCACCCCTATGTTTATCGCAGCACTATTTACAATAGCCAAGAAATGGAAGCAACCTAAGTGTCCATCAGTAGATAAATGGATAAGCAACAGTTGGTACAAATATACAATGGAATACTATTCAGCCATAAGAAGAAAACAAATCCTACCATTTGCAACAACATGGATGGAGCTAGAGGGTATTATGCTCAGTGAAAGAAGCCAGGCAGAGAAAGACAAGTATCAAATGATTTCACTCATCTGTGGAGTATAAGAACAAAGCAAAAACTGAAGGAACAAAACAGCAGCAGACTCACAGAACCCAAGAATGGACTAACAGTTACCAAAGGGAAAGGGATTGGGTGGGAAGGGAGGGATAAGGGGGAAAAGGGGGCATTATAATTAGCACACATAATGTAGCGGGAGGGGAACATGGGAAAGGCAGTATAACACAGAGAAGACAAGTAATTATTCTATAGCATCTTACTATGCTGATGGACAGTGACTGTAAATGGGGTATGTGGTGGGGACTTGATAATAGGGGGAGTCTAGTAACCATAATGTTGTTCAAGTAATTGTACATTAATGATACCAAAATAAATAAATAAATAGACACATATCCCCAAATAAAAGTTTTGACTCAGTCTAGCTTTTCTGCCTTGCTAGATAATTTTCAGATTTATAATTAACCATATACTTCTACAACTCTGTATCAAGAGTACTTTGTACACAGCAGGCCCACACACAAAAAAAAACATCTGGTTAGTTCTGTAAGTGCATTCTCTCACAATCAATCTCACAAGTGCCCAAGAGGCTTGATAACAAAAGACTAGTCAGAGGGAATGTTCAGAGATCCAAATAAAGGGGGAAAGCACCTATGTGAAGTCTAAGTATTAAAATTATTAGCTGGGAACCAATTTTGAAAATTATTGAAATGAAGTGATAGAGACCTGAGAGCTCATTATGTTCATCATTTTTACTTTTGTGTCTGCTGGAAAGGTCCATAATCAAAAAGTCAAAAAAATTAATATATCAGCAAATTTAGAAAAGCTCTCAAAATTCCTCATGCCTTAAATGACAATGAGATGAGTTAAAATGTAAGCTTAAACTATCTAGTACCTGCACAGAAACTGAATGAATATAAATGAGTGGGACCAAAAGAAAAATATAAAATAGGGTTTTTCTTATTGAGGCCAGCTTTCTTCAAAGCATAGATTCAAAAGTTAGTTTCTTGGGTTGAGAAAGGCAGATGAGCGCAGAACTACTGACAGTCTGCACAAAGACAAAGCAACTCCTGTAAGCAGTAGGCTCTGTGGAGCCCATTTTTCTCTTTGATGAATTCTATGCCCCTAAGACAGGGAGAGGGCAGTAGATGGGGAGGGAATTCTCTGCGTGTTCTCTCCCCACTTCTAATGCATTCGTCATGGCTGACATCTTCACACACGTGCAGTGCTATGAGCTCAGCAGCTCATCCCTGAAGTTTGTAGGACACGATTAGCTTAACTTAGACTATTCTATTCTTTAAAAGAGCAATGACAGTGAAGAAGAAGGGGGTGGGAGAGGATGATGAGGAGGAGACTGATCTCCTTTAAGGACGAATTTATAAGCAGAAAAGTAACTACAATTATAAAATATTAACAAAACTTTCACAAGGAACTGCAGGAACCATAGATTAATATCGTTTTCCTCTGATTATTAACCTACATTTTAAGGCAGAAATCATGCAGCTTAGTCCAAAAATATCTCAAGGATGTATATGGTCTACTTTTGTAGCAATAACAAATACAAGTATGTGAGGAGAAGGAGAGCATATTATTAGCAATGTTTCCACTTAATCATCATAACACATTTCCCCCTAGCAAGAGGGAGAGAATTTCCTTGTAAGATGCATGGAATCGAAATTATTTAAAAAGAAACAAGAGAAATAAGATAGTAATTCACATTTTACACTGAGCAATAGAAAATGTTTTTAAATACTTTTCATGATACTATTAACACCAGTAATTAGCACTTGAACATTTTTCAACAACAGAAGCTATTGTCATAGAATAATCGCAGACTTAACACTGGGAATGAAGTTACAGTCATCATAAGGCATATTGTCATAGTTCAGCAGGTGCTACTTCATACAGTGTTTTAACACCAAAAGAGCCTTTGGTGCACTGCACACAGGGTACTACCATAGGCTATAATTTTCAGAAGCAGATGAAACAAGCATAGGATAAAGTTCTCAGATGTATTATAAGTAACCATTACATTTTGAAATCCATTTTAAATTGCGGACAAACCAGAATTTAATGCTAAGATGACACTACCAGGAAATCATAAAAAAAACCTTAAGGAATAAAAATACATATGGGAAAAATAAGACTAAATCTCTAGCCATCAAACTAATCACATTTAAATTCTTAGAAAATAGGTAGATCACAAAAACACAACCTAAAAATATTCAATGGACAAATACATCATCAGATGTGCTCTTATAAAATATATAAAATAAGTGACAAACCACCCTCAAATGTACAACTTTACTTGTTATTAAAAGGTGACCAATGTTTAAACAAACCAAACACACAATATGAGAGAACAAGAACAGCAAACACAGGGCAGTAATGGAACACATCTGACCCTTCATCCCCATCCCGGGCCAGACGTCAAGAATCAGCTTTGGCATCCTTTCTCCCTATGCCCAAGCCAACCCTCAGAATTATTTCCAAAAACAGCACTTCGGGTAGCCACTACCAAGAGTCCACAGATGAAATATTAAGCTAGACCTATTTTTCTATCCCTAATGGAGGATTCTAATGACTTGAAACATTAAATACACTTTAGGTAATTATTTCTTAATCAAAAACAGTTATATTTTCATATTCTTTAGAAATCATTTAATCAAGAAATGGATTCCAATACATGCTTCACTTCAAAGACAGGCTCTATGGCTGAAATGCCACCAGAAAGCTAACGAATCCAATGACAAACTTCAATCCGTTAGTGAGATAACAGAATATGCTGCTGTCTTTTGAGAAAAGAGTGCACTCTGAGAGCTGACAATGAAAATATTTGGGCCACTAATAAGAACACTGGTAAAACAGAAAAAGTAATACCCTTTTCAATAAGCAATACTTTTTCTTATTCTCTACTATTTAAGAGGGGGTAGCGATATAAAGCATAAAGAATCCTGGATTTTATGGATCACCAACAAAAAAAGGAGTAAAGGGCTGATTTATGGTATTAGCAAAGATACCAAACTTAATACTTACTTTTGCAAAGGCTTCAAAAATGTTAAAAGATGGTGGCAGCTGAGAGGCATCCTGTATTTCTTCTTTCATGAAATGTTGAAATGTCATTACAAGTTGCCTGAGGCCCTCTTTCTTATCTTCAGTAAGTTTGTTAATATCTTTTTAAAAAGAAAATAAATAGCACAATCACACAGTAAACTTTTAATGGATAATTTTCAGGTGTTCAATGGTAGCTGTTAAACCAAATATTTCCTGTCTCAGATTCTATTCTGACAGAAAGCAGATGCATATCTTTTTATTTTTTGACAACTGCAAATCAGGATACACACATTAATTAAATTCTACTAAACGTCATCTACAACATATGCTCAAACACCTATCAAAACAAAATAAACAGATGTGCATATGAAAAAATCATTAAAACCAAAATCAGTTAAGATGTGTTACCAGATTTTCTACATCATCCTGTACACAGGTTCCATAATAGATGCTTGTTAAGTCAGTGAACTGAAGCAGACTTTTCCATGAAACCATCTCCAACCAGGTCATCACTGACTGGTAAACTGTGCCATCTCAAAGGCAGACAACCAAGGAAGTGAGAACTGAAAAGCTCAGCTAAGTTTAAATTAGTGAAATTTGTCATATAGAAGTACAGGAAGAAGAAAATGTAACTTATCCAAAGAAATCTCAACTTCAAGTTATTTCCAGGTTCAATAAGCAATATATGGAGCTGCTTCAACCCAAACAGAAGGAGAAGGTTCCCTAAGCTTCCACCCCCTAAAAAATCTCAGTTTAATTTTTTACCACAAAGGGGTGTTAAGGCTAAGAGTATACAGTTCAATCAGTAATGTTTGAGAGCATTTCACTTAAGGCAGCATGTATGACATTGCTACTGAGCAGGGCTAATGTTAACGGTAAAACTCACAGGGAGAGATGTTAATTACCGAGCAGTAATATAAAAGAAAAAATGACTAATTAGTTCTCTATTAAAACTTGAAAAGATACATCAAGCACAACTGTAGCATAACTCTGTTGCTCATGTCAGGTCTACATATTTTCTTTAAATTACTTGTTCAACAGGACAATTAACCCAATGAATTCTTAAATAATAATTTATTATCATTGACACTTAGGATCCCATAACCATAAATCTGTACTGGATCTTCTTCTTACTTGTCTCCATCCAGAAATATTAAACTGTGTAGCAAATTCACTCAATGAGCTCTGGCTACTTTTGGTTTAAAGTCATTTATAACCTCAAAGAAGAGGATCTGTGCCAATAGAGAAGAAAAATAAACCCTACATTTACTTACCACTCAGATTTGGAAAGCCTTTCAGTGACCTCTAGTAGGCTGGCCACTGCCAGGGAGTTCAAAAGAGCAGCTCCCACTGCCATCGAAGTGGCTAAGTCATCTCTACCTTCTACTTTTTATCTAAAAGACCAATGAACTTTAATGTTCCCTGGAAAACCCCTGTTCACATCACCACTGTCCCCCAACATCAAAAAGAAACTAAGAGCTGGAAGAAAGGAAAGAAGGAGGAGAAACGGCAGAAAAAATTATTTTGCCAACTGGACAAGAGCTACACTCCCCTCGCTGCCTAACCTGAACACCTTCAGGGTGCTTTACAAACTCCTCTTTGGCCAAAGGTACCCTGGAATAAATTAAACAAGTTGTGTGTCAGTTACATATAAAAACATGAAATGTTTTGTTAGATTTGCCTTGCATAATAAAGAGACAGAAAAATAAAGTTAAAAAGAAAGCAATTTACTAGCAAATAAATGATATGCATTTATTTTTTTTTTGGTGCTGATAGACAATCACTTACTTGACTCTAGATCATAAAATGAGTAAAGTTTCTCCGATTCAGAGGGTGTTTCTTCCATCTGTGTAGGGGGAAAACACCAAAAACAATTTCAAGTGCCCCAATATAAAAATGAGTATGTGTTAGTATCTACAGAAATTTAAATAAAAGTCTATTTAAAAGACACATTTTCTAAGACAAATACCAAATGATTTCCCTCATTTGTGGAGTATAACAATGAAGCAAAACTGAAGGAACAAAATAGCAGCAGACTCATGGACTCCAAGAAGGGACTAGTGGTTACCAAAGGGGAGGTCTTGGGCAAGTTCCTTCACCTTGAGTCAAAAGAAGTCAATTTCCTAGTCTGAAACAAAGGAGTAAAAACATCACCTGATTCACAGGGCTGTTGTCAGGACACACAGGACCTGGAGAAAGTTGACTGCTCAGTGTAGGGTAACTATTATCAAAACTGCTTTCTACTAGATTCTGATTTGGTACGTCAGGGGTGGGAATGGAGAACTAGTACCTTGGGTGATTCTGAAGTGATGCATTACTGCTCTAACAGGGTTCTCTATTTTTTCAATATTATTAAAGTAAAAAAAAAATCCGGACTAAAATAGAATAATGATTAAACTTTTAATATCCAGTGGTTAAGGAAATACATAATGACAAAGTTGCTCTGAATTTCTTAATGACCTGAAATAAATTTGTATTTCAATAATCCACCTCCTACCTTAAATTTAGCCTTAACTATGAATAATACATGCAATAGCAAGTGCTTCTGTTAAATTAAAATAGGTTTTATACTCACAAGTTTGAAAACAACTCTGCCAAGAAGTCGGACGGAATCTGGAGGATATCTAGGTTTGCAGCTTTTAAGGCATTTGCATTCCCGCTTGTGGTCTTGCCATGCTTTTTTCTGATACAATAAGAGTAGGGAGGGCATACAAGACATAGAAACTTAACTTTCATTTACACTGGTTTTGAACATTGAGAGTCATCAACATTAACTTAATTTCAACAGCCTAAATATAACTACTACAGAAAATGAAAGCAGTATTCTAATACTGTTAATGATCCAGGACTAAGTCTCTGCCAAGTATGCAATTACCAGGCATGGACATCTAGAGCTATTGCTTCATCTCAGTCCTTTAATTTGCATCCTTGGTTATTACCTGGCTGGTGTAGACCAAACAGAATCATTATGGCTTACTTAATTTACAAAATAATCTTTTGCTGGATTAAATAGGATTCAATAACAGACATTGATTTTTAATGCAAAAAGAAAATATCAATCCAAAGTAGAAAACAAAACACTGGGAAAATCTGAACAGACCAATTACCAGCAATGAAATTGAATTGGTAATCAAAAAACTACCAAAAACGAAAGTCCAGGTCCAGATGGTTTCACAGGCAAATTCTACCAGACATTTAAAGAAGAGCTAATACCCACCTTCCTTAAAGTTTTCCAAAAAGTAGAAGACAAGGGAATGCTTACAAACATATTCTATGAGGCCAGCATCACTCTAATAGCAAAACCAAAGACACTACAAAAAATAAGAAAATTACAGACCAATATCCCTGATGAACACAGATGCAAAAATACTCAATAAAATACTAACAAACTGAATTAAAAAATATACCAAAAAGATCATTCACTATGACCAAGTGGGCTTTATTCCAGGGATGCAAGAATGGTACACTACTCAAAAATCCATCAACATCATATACAACATCAACAAAAACAAGGACAAAAATCACATGATCATCTCCACAGATGCTGAAGAAGCATTTGACAGAATTCAACAACCATTCATCATAAAAGCTCTCAACAGAATGGGTATAAGGGCAAGTACTTCAACATAATAAAGGCCATATATGACAAACCCACAGCCAACATCATACTTAACAGCGAGAAGCTGAAAGTTTTTCCTCTAAGATCAGGAATAAGACAAGGATGCCTCTCTCCCCACTTTCATTCAACATAGCACTGGAGGTCCTAGTCACAGCAATCAGAAAACACAAATAGATAAAAGGCATCCAAATCGGTAAATTAAGAAGTTGAATTGTCACTATTTGTAAATGATGTGATATCATACATAGAAAACCCTAAAAAATCTACCAGAAAACTATTAGAACTAATAATTGAATTCAGCAATGTTACAGGATGCAAAATTGATATACAGAAATTGGTTTCATTCCTGTATACTAACAAAGAACTAAAAGAGAAATCAGGAAAACAGTTTCATTCATGATTGCATCAAAAACAGTAAAATACCTAGGAATAAACCTAACCACAGAGCTGAAAGACCTATACTTTGAAAACTACAAGACACTCATGAGAGATATTAACATATCATCAAAATGGCCATCCTGCCTAAAGCAATTTCCATTCACTGCAATCCCTATCAAAATACCAACAGCATTCTTCAATGAACTGGAGAAAATATTTCTAAAATTCATATGGAACCAGAAAAGACCCTGAATAGCCAAAACAATCCTGAGAAGGAAGAATAAAGCAGGGGGGATCTCGCTCCCCGACTTCAAGCTCTACTACAAAGCCACAGTAATCAAGACAATTTGGTACTGGCACAAGAACAGACAGACCAATGGAACAGACTAGAGAGCCCAGATATAAACCCAAGCACATATGGTCAATTAATATATGATAAAGGAGCCATGGACATACAATAGGGAAATCACAGCCTCTTCAACAGCTGGTGTTGGCAAAACTGGACAGCTACATGCAAGAGAATGAAACTGGATTATTGTCTAACCCCATACACAAAGTAAACTCAAAATGGATCAAAGACCTGAAGTCATGAAACCATAAAACCCTTAGAAGAAAACATAGGTAAAAATCTCTTGAACATAAACATGAGCAACTTTTTCCTGAACACATCTCCTCGGACAAGGGAAACAAAAGCAAAAATGAACAAATGGGGAGTACTTCAAACTAAAAACTTCTGTACAGCAAAGGACACCATCAGCAGAACCAAAAGGCGTCCTACAGTATGGGAGAATATATTTGTAAATGACATATCCAACAAGGGGTTACCACCCAAATATATAAAGAACTCACATGCCTCAACACCCAAAAATCAAATAAGCAGATTAAAAAATGGGTGGAGGATACGAATATACACATCTCCAAAGAAGAAATTCAGACAGCAAACAGGCACATGAAAAGATGCTCCACATAACTAATTATCCAGCAAATGCAAGTTAAAACCACAATGAGATATCAACTCATACCAACTAGGATGGCCACCATCAAAAAGACTAGGAACAACAAATGCTGGTAAGGATGCAGAGAAAGGGGAACCCTCCTACACTGCTGGTGGGAATGTAAACTAGGTCAACCATTCTGGAAAGCAATATGGAGGTTCCTCAAAAAACTAAAAATAGAAATACCATTTAACCCGGGAATTCCACTCCTTGGAATTGACCCAAAGAAAACAACTTCTCAGATTCAAAAAGACATATGCACCCCTATGTTTATCACAGCACTTTTTACAATAGCCAAGATATGGAAGCAACCTAAGTGTCCATCAGTAGATGAAATGGATAAAGGAGAGGTGGTGCATATACACAATGGAATACTATTCAGCCATAAGAAAGAAACAAATCCTACCATTTGCAACAACATGGATGGAGCTAGAAGGTATTATGCTCAGTGAAATAAGTCAAGCAGAGAAAGACAAATATCAGATGATTTTACTCATTTGTGGAGTATAACAACAAAGCAAAACTGAAGGAACAAAACAGCAGCAGACTCACAGACTCCAAGAAGGGATGAGCGGTTACCAAAGTGGAGGGGTGTGGGAGGGCAGGTGGGGACGGAGGGCGAAAGGGATTGAGGGTATCATGATTGGTGCACATGGTGTGTGGGGGGTCACAGGGAAGACAGTGTAACACAGAGAAGACAAGTAGTGACTCTGTGGCATCTTACTACACTGATATACAGTGACTACAATGGGATATAGGGTGGGACTCAATAAAAAGCATGAATGTAGTAAATACATTGTTTTTCTTGTGAAACCTTCATAAGAGTGTATATCAATGATACTTTAATAAAATAAAAAAAAGAAAAGAAAACACAGTGTTCATGTGGTTACCATGGTGGGAGGGGGTATAGTTGGTGGGTGGGGAAAAGGGGGCACAAAATTATCAATCCTAATTTAAGTTAGTCACAGGGATAGTAGTACAGCATGGAGAATATAGCCAATGATTCTGTAACACCTTCTTATGTTGACAGATAATAACTGCTCTAGAGTAGGTGAGGATTCAATAATATGGATAACTGCTGAACCACTCTGCTGTGTATTTGAAACCAATATAAGATTATATATCAACAATACTTCAATAAAAAATAATAATAAAAATATATAAAATAAAATGAAATACAGGGTTCAGGAAAATCAAAGCAGGGCAGGCAGACAGCCTTCTGAATTACAGTGCTGCTAAGGCAAGTATAGAAATATCAGGAGAACTAACATAAAAAATATAAAACCTTTTTGGTTTTTAAGACAACAGAGAAAGGGGTTATTAACTAAAATGATCAAATGACTTGTTTGCCCAGGACTACCTTGGTTTATTTATGTTGTCCTGGCCTCATTATTAATAGCAGCTTTTTCATTCCAAAAAGTATGGTTTGGATGATACATTACATAGTCACTTAACCCATGATCCTCACCATATGCTGGAGTGACAGAAAAGACCAGTGAGACAGTCACCAATCTTGCAACACAAGGGATGAGAGGAATAAAGGGAAGGACTTGTTCCCCCTGAGTCTTGGGCCAGAAAAGCCATGGGTCCCTAAACATATGATTACTCCTATATGGGTGTGAAATCTGGAGTACCTAATATTTAGCCCTGGTGAGTGGGAGACAGACCAAATGTCTAACATGTTCTATTCCAACTGAAAGGTGGAAGCTCTATCATTGAAATGCCTGAGGCTCACCCTCCTTATTTCAGAAATGGTAATGCTGCTTTCCAACTTCCAGGCCTATACAATCCCCCTAGGAGGGACTCTTTTTCTACTTGTAGTACAAACGTGGAGTGCAAAGATTTCAACGAACTTGCAGCTACCTTGAAACTGTACTCAGTTCAAGCTCAGGCCAGCACTTGGCTAGAAAGGCTGCACCTGGTGAGATGTTAGGACCTGCTGTGTCCCTTTTATTCCCCAGTAACCCAAACCCTTGAGACATTGTTTACAAGGGGTACATCATTTCCTTGATGAATTCCACTCATGGTTGCCTTGCTTTATTCCTTCAAATCCACTATGATAATACTCTTAATCTAACATCTGTAATCTTTTTTTTTAAGAATTTTACTCACGTCTAAATAAGACTGAGCTGCTTCAAAGTAAACATATATATGAGATAGTGCTGAAAAATTAGAAAGATAAAATGTTAAAATTGGGGGGAAGGGGGAGTCCCTTAGCATTTACGTAGCATTCTACAGTCTGTCAGACACACTGCTAAGCAATTAAAAAAGGATATTGCATTTCACTTTCACAATAATCCAAATGGTAGACAGTATCCTTATAGTAAAGATGAAAAAAGTAAGGCTCAACAGCTGGGATCTAACTACCAAGCTACATAAATATAAAAGAGAAGAGGAAAAATTCTTAGTATGTTAAACATGACAGCTAAACAATTACCATGTTTGTGCACTACATCTATTTGAGTTGTCTTACAGGCAAGACAAATAAGAAAGCATAGGCTTATATAATTCTTGTCTGACAGGAAAGAAAACACATCATTTTACCAAGTACTAAATCATAGGAGGAATTTATTCTGAGAATGCTAATCAACATACTGGACAAGGTTTTCAACAATAGTTCACAACTGCAGTGGCCTTCCATACAGCTGCTTCTAATGTCAGTACCCAATAAAAGGCATAATATTAAAATAT